ATCATTGGGGGTATCCACCACCGTCCGAGTGTTATTACCCCGAGACCCCCTGGAGCAATCAAGGAGGAGAAGACTATGGATTGGGGTTCCAGTACCAACCCCCTAACTATGGAGAACAATCTGACCCCTGGGCATATCAAGAACAATCTCATTACCAAGAAGACTTTCTCCCACAACCAGAAGGGCCATCGGCGCTGGAGTTACCCATGGCGGCCTTCACGGGCCATTCTGCAGAGCCATGCTACACTCCACAACCAGATCCAAACTATGAATTGAGGCTTCTCATGGAGCAGTTTGCTCGGGACTCCGAGAGACGCAATCGCAAGATGGACCTCATTTTCTCATCTTTTGCTCCTCCTAACTCTTCATCCCTCCGTGAATCGGAGGAGACTGTTTCGCACTCATCAAAGCAACCAGAGCGGGTTGAGCAAGTTTGTGCACAACTTGCTCAAGATCACCCGTCTGCTACCATACTAGAGGAGGAGGAGGAGGAGGAGGAGGAGGAGGAGGAGGAGGAGGAGGAAGAAGGCTACAAGGACATTGTGGAGCAAACAGAAGTTATCACAGAGAGCTCCCGTGAAGATCATGATCAAGAATGTCCTGTCGTAGCCGACCACCCCTTCCCACATCCCACACCGAGCTTTGAAGAGGTGGGCATGAGTGAGGAGATGCAAGAAGATCTCATGAAAGAAATTTCTTGGCAACTTGCTCTCCAATTCGTGCTAGAAGAAGAAGAGCAAGAAAGGGTGCAGAAAGAAGTTGTGGAGGATGACGAAAGTGAAGCAGAAGGAGTTCTTGATCATTTCCCAGGGGTGATACCACATGAAGAAGAAAGGGGGGTTGAAGAAGCAATTGGCGTCCAGGCTGAGGACGGAGTTGAGGTGGAAGAGGCCTGCATCGGCCATGAGTTACATGTGATATCTCCACCAAACTTCGAGGAACTACTTAGCAAGGACCCATTTGCAGTGTCTCTTTGCCAGACCAAGGCCACATCGACATTGGTCCCTCTTGGTGGACGCGATGGTGGCCAATCGATGTTGTCATATCTGGTTTGGGGCAATGAGACAAGAGAAGAGAAGAAGAGGTCTCGAGGGTGGAGACTTCATCTGCATCAAGTGCACGAGCTTCCCTCACCTGTCATACCACATGCTCGTGACTTGAGACTCCACCTCATTGACGAGAACCTCAACTTCAAGGAGGTTTTAGGGTGGACCGAAACTTAGGAACCATCGTCTGGCTCACGACGTGAAAGAAGCGCTTGTTGGGAGGCAACCCAACCATTCGGTTTGCATTTCTTTCCCTATTTCTCTTCGGTTGATTCAGTTTTGTTCTTTGATTTTAGAGTCAATAACTCAACCTTTGTGAGATTTTGTGTGGTGTTTGTGTTCCGACTACTCTCTCCTCCTGGAATGCATCGCCTGCCCCGTCCACCATCATTCACCCTTGATCTGGTAACTTCGTTCTACCCTCCTTATCTTTCCTCCATTGAGGACAATGTCGTGCTTAAGTGTGGGGGGTGTTCGATTATGTATGCGGGTGAATGTTTGGCTGTTTGTGTGCTTGGAGCCTAGTCCACTGTCCAAATTTTTTAATTTGAGGGCTCCAAGTACGTGTTTCCTTGCAAATTGCCTGCTCAGTATGCTTTGAATTGACAGTCTCTGTAGTAATGTGCAACCTAGGGAGGTAGTGTAGCACTATGGAGGATGTTGAAGTATAAGATTTTTCTTATCTAGCTCTCTGCTGTGCCAGTTGATTTTGTGAATTAGTGGAGCTAAGACCGTTGAATTCATGTGGTAATGTGGACTCTGTTTGGATTGTGTTATGGACTCGTGTATCGAACAGGGTGCTCATGTGAGAAATGAATAGCAGTTGGTCCTCCATGTCGAAATCATCAAAATCTTAAACATGGGGTAAGCCCAACGTGTGTGGCACCGTTCATTGCACAAAATCGGGTTTTGGAAGATATTTTAGTGATTCTTAGTGGGGTACTCCTACAAGGTGAAGCTAAGTTGTCTCTCGTACAAGTAAAATTTTCACCCGTTGAACAGTTTGCCGACTTGAGGATGTGTTTTTAAGGCACGGATAGAGCTTCCGACCCCCCTTAATTTCATCGACCCTCCGCAAGAGTTGAGGAAAAGGAGTTAAAAGAAGTACTCTGGCGAGCGCCAGATGTACAGAAATTGCTCTTGCTCGACTAATAAGGGTCGACCGTGCAAAAGACTGCAGTTGGAACCCCCTCCAAGTGAATAAAAAGGAAAAAAAAGTAAGTAAAATGAAAGTGAAAAAGGGGTTCCAACGGTGAAATGAAGTGAAAGAGCACCCCGGTACAACGAGTCCTTGGTTGTGAATGGTGTGATTCCCTTTATCCATGAACTGACTGTCTTACTTCTACTTCTTCTCATGGTCCTGGCTTGAGTCTAGTACTCGTATTGAGAGAGATAGGGAATGTCTTAGAAGACCAGTTGACCTCGTAAGCTGCTATATGATCTCGGAAATCCTCTACCGACGATCGGGGTTGTATGTTGTAATAGAGGTCTGGAGAGCTGCATTGGTTTGAGTTAGGTTTGCTTGGGGACAAGCAAATGGTTAAGTGTGGGGGGATTTGATGACTCGATATTTGCACATGTTTTCCCCTTTGTTTCTTGATCATTTAAGCTTGCATTATCGCTTCTTTGGCCTATTTTATGCTAGGTTTTGTTCCTTTGTCACATTTCAGGCCCTAGCACATAAAGTGAAGCGTAGGCGCAAGTTTCAAGTCAATCAGAGATCAATTGGCGATTTGGGAGAAGAAACTCGGGCATGACCTGAAGAAGAATGGATTTCTATCTCATATTATGGACAAATTATCATGGAAGTTTGTTATGAAAAGAAAGAGGACGAGACTACGAGCTTCTGGGTTCAAACGGCGACTGATTTGGAGTCCGGACGAGGGAGAGACGAAGCTTTGAACAGGAGCGGAGGAAGAATTACGGGCAGGAGAATGACGACCGTATTTTCCCCTCCCATGCCCGTATTTTCACTGCCGAGAGGAGCTTTGGGTGCGCTGAAACTAACCAAAACGCGTGTTTTGGGCAAAATACGGGCATGGAAGAATTACGACCGTAATTCAGCCCGTAATTCGCCCAGAATCGGGTTTTTGAGGCAGATTCGAGCCAAAGGAAAGGGAGAGCTGGATTTTGGTTCCCAAACACCCAAGGGACGAACCCTAGAGAGAGGGAGCGACTTGGGAACATTCTTGGAGCTATTTTGGAGGATTTCTTCGCCATTGGAGCTCGGGAATCAAGTTTGGAGTTGGAGATTGAAGATCTAGATCAGATTTCTGCAGTCTCTCTCTTCTCTATGAAGTAACTTCCCTTCACTTAGGTTTTGAGGAACCCTAGCTATGTTTGTTTGATTGGATGATTGTATGAGTACTCTTACTTGATAATCTTGAGTTCATATTCAATCTATGCATGTTTTCATGATTCAATTCTGATTTAGTCAAGATTATTGATTATGCTTTGATCCTATGAGAGCGTATACCTGATTAGGTCAATAGAGCATCATAGATTGATAGTAGTGGATCGATTACCTTAGTCGAGGGTTGATTCACTGCTTTGTATCGATTGAGAACCTCATTCGATAGAGGAAATCTAGTTCAGAACGCCTTGATCGGTTGTTCTAGAGAAGGATACGTCCCTCGAGGCAATTGACTCAAGAGAGCTTTGTTCCTTTAATCGAGACTCAAGGTCTAGTCAAGGATTCTCCGCATTGTGAATGAAAGTGAAACAAGTTAGAAATCATCAATCGTTAATCTGGCTACTGGCTAGGGGGAATCATACCTAAGTGAGTTTCCAACCTGTAATTAGATTAACCTTAACTGTAGTGTGTTAGAGTAGTTTTAGTTCTTTCATCTTAATCTGGTTTGCTAGATAATGAACTGAAGCTGAGTAATAGTAACTCTAGAGACCCGTGGATTCAATATTTATTACTTGAGCCACTATACTGCAGTCCCTTTCATTGGTTACACTTGGCCTATGTTAGGAGTTGCGTCATAGCGAGTCACAAAGCATATCGAAATCGATATGCATGTCACCAGAGACAGGATCAAGGATGGTTTAGTACAACTGCAACACGTCAGCACAATCAATCAACTAGCTGACATCTTCACAAAGAGTCTTCACATAGTGTGCGTTCAAGAGCTACATGGCAAGTTGGGAGTCTTGATAGAAGCCACAACTTGAAGGGGGGGGGGGTGTCAACCAAGTGAAGAAATCGAGTTGCAAAGAAGTACTGAAGGCATCTGAATTCAATCGAAGGAGAAGAAGTTTCGTCTAAAGAAACGTTCCACCAGCAGTTTCGTTTATTTTATTTAGTGTTGCAAACGCTGTTGTTCCATCTTATTTTATTAGCTGTTGTTAAACACTGTTTCGGTTTGTAATAGCCAATGGCACTTTGTCACTTGGCAAACTCTGTGATGATTCTGATTAACAGAATGCAGCACTGTATAATGGAAGCAGGCAACTCTTTAGAGTTGAGGGTTTTCTAATTCTCCAATCCTATAATTGTTTGAGTTTCTCTCGCTGGGAGGAGGGGTTCAGCTATTGCAGTGGAGTGGCGTTCCAAACCCTAAATAATTGGACACTTTCAGTTGCTAAAAACCCTAAAGAACTTAGTTGCCCAAATTTCACTAGAGTTAACGGTGATGGTGTTCACTGGCCAGACTGTTGACCTGATCCGTGGGTTTAATTAAAACAAAAGAAAATCAAATGAAAGAATGAATATGGTCAGGTCATATTATCGCTCATTCCGGTCGAATGAGAACATCTTATTTCTGATTCGATCGAAACAAGTAAAATAATGATTGCAGCTAGCTAGAGAGAAATCGAACAAGCAACATCTGGGATGAGATGGAGTTTGGGCTGCATGCCTTGCATCATATTCTGGTCTATCAGAGAACCAGGATAAATTAAATGTCTTTGAACCTAGCTAAAACCTCCCCTCATCAAGGCTTTCTGGAAAGAGCTAGCCTCATACTCAGACAGCCGATTATGAACTAGCAAGTACCAACTAAAGTAGCATACGTTTGTGATGCCACTGTGCCAGCATTTTGTACATAAAGAATCACAATCGAAGACCAAGTCGGTAACTTTCATGATTAGCTTCAATGAAGTTCGACTATCATTGCAAGTACCATGATGGGGCAACTAGGTAGTATTATCAATCGCAGGGAAATGATAACATCGGAAGAATAGCCTAGGCCAGAAGCACCCACACACCTCATATAAAAGGGGCCAAACTAGGGAGTAGAAACAGATCTTAACTGCCCACAAACATGAAGTTTATTAGGTGAAGACCGTGAAGCAGAACAGAGTCCAGATCCAAGACATGAATAGCATGAATGAAACTTGACCGTCATCGCATTAGCAAAGTACCAAGGTTCTCAGACCATCACCACAATTAAACCACAACAGATGTCATAACAAATATACTTGGGGACCTAAACATAGTTCAAAGCGCAATCCCCTGATACTGTCTTTCAGTGCACACCCTTCATTTCTTCCCACTCTTTTTGAGGCCAGCACCTCCCACAGCTCCCTTCTGTGCCTTGGCTTTCAGGTCCTTGAGAGCCTGTAATTAATCAAAGGCACACTTTCATCACACCAATTTCTACACAACTCGGTACCAGAGAAGAATTATTCCAGAACATTGGAGCTTACCTTCTCCTCTTCCTTCTTTTTCTGAAGGAATGCCTTATCAACCTGCAGACAAGGAAATAAACGTGGCATGAACAAGTGAAAATAAGGAACAGAAGGCTGAGCATGCACTATAAGATAGAAACAGATTGCGTAGGTGCATCAATCACAGAACCTCATTCAAATACAGACTTCCATCCACTAGTTCCCCATCGGGGCAATACAGAATGCCAATATAAACAGCAGCCTTATTATTCAGAATGACCATGAATGAAACAATTAACCCTTTCAGCTTGTTGCTATAAATTATCTCATGAGAGCAAACCATCATAGGGAAAAAGGGGGAAACTTTCTAGCTTTGTCAAAGCAATATATGCTATACTAGTACAGGAAAGCACAAAGGAACTTAATTGTCTATGGATTGAAAGCCCGGCAAATCAAAATCCCCATCCAAGGAATTCATACGTATGATCAACCAATGAGAGATATCATGATACAGATTAGATTCGATCTCTGACTACCACTCCTTTTAGAAGAGAGCACTCCAAACCGTGCTCATGCCATGTCCCAGACTAATGGAATCTAGATTAAGGCACCCATAGCCAATTCCGATTCAAAGCTAAAGACCACAATAAATCAACTTCTTGTCCTTCCTCCGAATTCAAGCATAAAAATAATTTCTGGGAGCAGAGGGAAAGGTGAATCAAAAGCTACATCCTAAAAGGAAAGAAGAGAATTACATCGTCGTATTCCTTCTTGTCGGACTTTGGCTGCTTCAAGGGCTTTGCTTTTCCACCTGAAAACCACAGAAAGTAGTTCTCGATAATCAAGACATTCCCCACGAATCAAGAACGGAAATCAAGCAGTTGAACACTTGAACGTCAGGAAAGTACATCCCAATTCGACGAACCAGAACCTAACCAAACGAGCGATCGGAGAAAGGAGCAGCTGGAGGAAAAGAAAATTCACCTTGCTTGGAAGACATGGCTAGATCGGATTGACAGTAGCCGGTTAGGGTTTGATTGAGGGACGTAAGCAGGAAGCGAATTTTGGGATGGAAGAGGGACAGAGGATCAAACCCTAACTTTAGCCAATTATTGGAATGAACCTGCCCCGGAGTATTAAAGAACCTTTCTCCGCGAAAAGGTCGTAAAAGCACTAGTACTACCTAAAGAATACTCCTTTCGACCACCCTAATACAAACTCATTCTTAAACTTAAATTTCTTACGTAATTTGACCCCTAACAATTAACATTTTAACAATTGAGCCCCTCCAACTCCAAGGCTCCACCAATGAGCCAGGTATGATACGAGTCAGCAAAATACTTATTCGAAAATCGAAGGACGCGTTTGCCCTTTCAGGCCCACTCGAAAGTCAAAAGTAAAAAAAAAGAAAAAAAAAACACACAGGGGACGGGAGACTCTTGTCGATTGTCATTTACTTAGAGGTGCCAATTAGGATTCAAATCCATGAATCCAATCCAATTCATCCACCAAATTATCCACCTAATCCAATCCATTTAAATCCAATCCATTTGATCCAAATTAAATTGGATTGGTGGATTCATGGATCAATCCATGGATTCAAATGGCAAATTACGATTTGATACCTATATTTTTTATATTTTACATTTTGGTACCTAAAATTTATATTTTTATAAAAAAAATATCATTGGAAAATTATATTTTGGTACCTAAAATTTTTCATTTTGACATTTTAGTACCAAAACTTTTCAACTTTTACATTTTGGTCCAAGCCTTGGATGTCATTTGGATTCATGGATCAATCCACCAATCCATTGGATCCAATCCATTTGATCCATGGATCCACCAATCCAATCCAATCCACGAATCCGATCCAATTGCCACCTCTACATCTACTCATCTTTCCCGGCGACGATCGTCTCATTTGTCTGCACTTTCGTTCTCGATTCGGAGTTTGGACTTTTTTTTTGAAAAGTAATCTGCTTTCATTTATTTAAGTGGGGAGACCCAAATGATGGTCTTTACATAACTGATGGATCAGAAAAGGAGGTGGATTCGAGACCCAGATTTCCTCATTATCCCAATGGCAGAATGTGTGGGCTAACATATGGGCCGACCCATTGCAGTCTCGGCCCACAAACATAAACCTTGTGTCTCCAGCCCGATCCGCTTCGTTCCTTATCTCTTCACAAACCTCTTCCACCTCCAATGCCGACCGCATTTCCCGCATGAGCTTCTGAACCAAAAGCATGCAATCCGTCTCCACATCCAGGGCAGAGAAATCGTACCTTTTCGCCAAATCCAGAGCAAACATAATCCCCATCGCCTCAGCAATTTCAGGTGCCCATTTCCTTCTCGATCTCTTCACCGCTGCCAGACAGAAGGCGCCGTTGTGATCGCGGACGACGACTCCCCAACCAGTCCCTCCCGATTCGAAGATAGCAGCATCCACATTCGCTTTCAGTCGGCCAGGGCCAGGTGGAGTCCAAGAGCGAGGTCTTTGGTTCCCCAGATGAGTATTCTGTCTCTGCTTTGATTGGAATTCCCTTAACCACCCTAGGGCAAATGGGATAATGTCGTCCTCCTCCCTCTTCTTGTTGTTCCAGAGGTGATTGTTGCGTTCTTGCCAAATACACTAGAGGGCCACAAATAAAGCTTCGATAGCCTCTGTCTTCTCACTCGCTTGGACCTCACAGCACCATTCCTCACAGGTATTGTTTTCTCCTTTGCTAAATTGGCCCCTTAGCTCGGAAGGTTGCCAAATTCGCCTAGTCCATCCACAATCTAGGAAAGTATGATATTGGGTCTCTTTTAGGCCACATAATGGGCATTCCTCACAGCCTCTTTTTGTTCGATCGATTAAGTTCCCCCCGGTAGGAAGGATGTTTTGAATCCATCTCCACGCAAACACCCTAACCTTGGGAGGTATGTTTAGCCGCCAAATCTGTTTCCAATTGACTGGAACATATAACTCTCCCACTTCAGAATCCTGACTTTCTTTCCACTTCACATAAGCTGATTTCACCGTGTATAGACCTCTTTTCTCCAGTCCCCAAACTCTCCTATCTGGGCAGGGTTGTCGCGGTATAGGGATCATCTGTATCTGAGCTCGATCATTGGGGTGGAAATGGGTTTGAAGTAGCTCGGTTCTCCATAGTCTAGCCTCAAAGTCGATCAGTTCCTGAACCAAAACAGGGCTGTTCATCTCCTGGTGATTTGAAGTGATTTTAAAATTCTCAGCCTCTGGTAGCCATCGATCTTCCCAGATCTTTATTTGAGATCCATTGCCCACCCTCCAGCGGATTCCTTGAGCCACTAAATCCCTTGCAGATATAATACTCCGCCATAGGTAGCTAGGATAATGACCCATTCCAGCCTCCATAATGTCCTTATTCGGGAAATACTTTGCTTTGAGAACCCTGCTTGCTAGGGAATTAGGCATCTGAGTGAGATTCCATACTTGCTTACCTAGAAGGGCTAGGTTGAAGCCTTTTAAGTCACGAAATCCCATACCTCCTTCCACTTTAGGTCGACAGAGGTCTTTCCAGCTTTTCCAATGCGTTCTTCTTTCTTGTTGGCTTTGCCCCCACCAGAAATTGGCTATAATTTAACTGAATTTCGTCAATAATACCTTCCGGTAGCAGAAATAGGGACATCACATAGGTAGCTTGTGCTTGGGCAATAGATTTTATCAACACTTCTTTGGCAGCACTCGACAGAAGCTTGCTCTTCCAAAGCTTCACCTTCTTTCTGATTCTATCCACCAAATAACTGAAAACTGATCTCTTCTTCTTGCCTACCACTGTGGGCGGGCCTAAATACTTCTCGTGAAAGTCCACCAGCTTCATACCAATTAGTAGACCAGCCATCTCTATTTGTGTTTGTTTAGTGATATTAGGGGAGAAGGAAAGTTCAGACTTGGTTAGACTAACACTTTGGCTTGATTCCACTTCATACCAACTCAGAATTTCTTTTAGCTTCAAACATTGGGGCCTTGTTGCTCTGATGAAAAAGATGCTATCGTCGGCAAAGAGCAAATGCGATACCGATGGAGCATTTTGACTAACTTTTAGCCCCTGAATTAAGCCTCTTTCCTCCGCCTTAGCTGTGAGATCAGATAGCCCTTCAGCTACCAGTAGAAACAAGTAGGGGGAAATTGGGTCCCCTTGCCTGAGTCCTCTTGTAGGGAAGAAAATATCAGATTGATGCCCATTCACTAGGGCAGCGTATGATACCGTTGACACACAGTACATAATCATCCTCACCCATCTTTCAGCAAATCCGAGTTTCCTCATAATAGCCTCCAGAAACTCCCAACTAACTCGATCATAAGCCTTCGCAATGTCCAATTTAGCTGCCATGTAACCCTTTTTCCTTTCGTTCTGATCTTCATTGCATGGAAACACTCAAACGCAACAATGACATTATCTGTTATGTACCTTCCAAGGACAAAGGCACTCTGGTTTTCCACTACTGCCACTCTCAAAACTTGTTTGAGCCTGTTCGCTAGGACTTTAGAAAAGATCTTGTAGAGAACTTTGCAAAGGCTGATGGGTCGAAATTCAGCTGGTGTTTTTGGCTTCTTAGTCTTAGGAATAAGAGCGAGAAGCGTATGATTCAGAATCTGAGGGAAAACTCCCATTTCAAAGTACCCCTGTAGTTCTTTGGTAACATCCTCTCCTATAACATGCCAATGTTTTTGAAAAAACATGGCCGGCATACCATCATCACCTGGCGCCTTAGTAGGTCCCATGTAGCACAAAGCATTCCAAATTTCCTCTCTTGTAAGAGGTTGAAGCAATTCCTCGTTCATGCTGTCCGTTATTTTGCAGGAAATTGCATCGAGTACATGGGATGTCTGGGCTGGGGGAGCTGCTTTGAAGAGCATTTGATAGTAATCTCTGATGCATAAGGTAACTTCCTTCTGTCCCTTCCTCTCCACCCCATCTTCATCTAGAAGGCAGAATATTGTGTTTCGATTTCGTCTATCCGAAGCCTTTCTGTGGAAAAAGGGGTATTTCTATCCCCTTCTTGCAACCAATCTGTGCGGGATCTTTGTTTCCATGCTATTTCCTCCAGGTCCATTATCTCATTAAGTTCCTTTTCAAGAGCTCGCCTCTGTGTAATCACTGCCCCGTTTTTCTTTCTCTTGTCTAGAATGGCTAGAGCTTTCTCTGCCTTTTTCCTCCTGGTAGCAAGGCTGCCAAACTTAATTTTACTCCACTCCTTTAGGTTTTCTTCACATTTAGTTATCTTTGCCAGCACCGTCTCTTCCGGATTCCCTCGCCAACTTCCCGAAACAACCTCCTCACATTCAGGCTCTCTAGTCCAGAAACTCTCAAACCGAAAACTCCTTCCCCAATTCACCTTGTCCTCCAGTAAGCGTCTCTTGAGGATAATAGGAGAGTGGTCAGACCCGCACCTCCTTAGATTATATACGCGGGCATGTGGGAAATGTCTCATCCAATCTGTTGTTGCTAGCATCCTATCTAGACGTTCTTCGAGAAAGGTTTCATCCGTGTGATTGTTATCCCACGTGAAAATATTCCCATAATAGCCTAGATCTTCCAGCTCACAATCCTCTATTGCCTCATTGAACTTCTCCATAATCTGCGTATTAGGATCGTTCAACCCATGCTTCTCTTCGTAACTCTGAATCTGGTTAAAATCCCCACAGACCAACCAAGGAACAGATGCTTGACCATGTAACTTTCGTAGCAGATCCCACGTTAAATGCTTATTCGACTCTTCAGGCCAACCATACACCCCTGTCAGTCTCCACACTAAATCTTTTTCACTCACCCTCATATCAATGTGATTTAAGGAATCAGACATTATTTCAACAGAGATTTCATTCCTCCACATGACAAGTAGACCTCCTGCTCTGCGGGATGAGCCCACCCCATGTCCATTTTCCCACCCGAGTTGGGTTAGGATCTCCTTCCACTCCTTGTCCTTTTTCTTAGTCTCCATTAGGAAGACCACACTGGGGTTTTGCTGGAGCAGTAGACGCTCCAACTTCTTCACTGCCCGGGATTTCCCCAAACCCCAGCAGTTGTAACTCAAGATACTCATTGGGCTGGGCGGCTCTGCTTCTCTGCAGAGTCCGCCACATCGCCATCCCTTGTTGTAGTTTTGTTTGTAAGTGGTGAGGTATCCAAAATTTCAGTTATGTTCAGCACCTTTGCTTTTTTTTCCTGTATAATCTGTTCTTCACCTTGATGCTCTTGGCTGTCCCCTTCCTTTGCAAGTCGTTTTTGCAGGGTGACTTGAGTTTTCTCGGTGGTTCTTGGTTTAGCCTGATCTTGTCTCCGCCACACCCTGCCCCCATTACGTTTGCCTTGTTGTACACCACTAACGCCCATGACAAAGCTGTGTAGGGCTCCCTTTGGATCAACACATCCCACGTTGCGGATTTGAGGGAGAGATCTATTTGCCGGATTATCCATCTGTATGTTCTCCTCTCCCTTTGCCTTTTGTGTTTCCTTGCGGTTATGACCTACTGATTCTGTATTGGCCATGGCCTTTTCTTTATCTGACTGTACCTCATTCCCCATAACTTCTTCTGCACATGGCATTTCATGATCTGAGTTAGATCCCAGACTCTCCATATCAAATTTTCTTCTCAGCCTTGCCCAAATTTCAGCATCCTCCTTTTTTGCTGCATGGGACAACCAGTTTCGAGGGCCCTGAGGACTCGCTCTCAGCTCCATTCCAAAGGAGTCAGGATCAAGACCAGAAGGTTTAGGGCATCTTATCTTCGGATGACCTATCCTACCACACGAGTAGCAGAAGATGGGAAGTTTTTCGTACTTCACCAGGTACTCCACCAGCCTCCCTCCTATATTCAACTTGACTTTCTTCTTGAGAGGGTTGTTAATGGACATGCTCACCCTTAGTCTCATGTAAGTGTCCCACATTGTACCAGGGTTGTCATCGAACCAAACTAAAGATCCAAATCTGTTTGCTATTTTCTCCGCCATCTTCTGAGTTCTAAGTTCGGTCGGTAGCTCCTTAATTTGAATCCATATATCAATCATATGCAGGGCTTCCGGATTGGGTTTCTTAATCAGCAGGCTAGCCTCAAACACCATCACGTTGTTTTCATAGTACCAAGGGCCCCCAAAGCAGACCTTGTTTCGATCATCCTCTTCTAAGAATTGAAAGGCGAATAACATATCTCCCAGGTCTGTAATCTGGAATGTCTTTTTAAGATTCCATGCCTTTGCCAGCGCAATCTTCATGGATTTAACGTTTGGCTGTTTATCTGCTACCAGGCGGCCTATTAGCCCCCAGTTGGCGTACAACTTCCATTCGGATAATATCCACATCATCGTCTTCCACTTTCAACGGCTCGTCGTCCTCGTCCTCGAGGGTAATATGATCCAGTTACTTCTCAATACTTTCAGCTGTTGATTGGAGTTCCAGCGGCTCCTCCTCACCAGCCTCAGCTATCTCTCTATTCTTCTCAATTTCCATCTGAGCTCCTTAAGGGTTAAGCAAAAGCACCACGAAAGGACCGCCTTGCTCAGTCTGTATTCTACTTATTAGTCACGAGACTCGCTGTTATCACGTTTCCCCTGTAACTGGGAAAGACTCTTCTTAAGTAGGCTCGATGTAAACCCCGAACTTTCAAACAGAACCGTAATCAAAGCAGAAAAGGACCTCTGAATCCTATTTGGATACCGAAAGAGATTAACTTGGTCATCGATCAAAATCTCGAATTCGAAAAACCTAGAATTTCCGCCGCCTCAAAACACCTCGTTAAACGAGAGAAAACCTATGGCGAATCACTTTTTTAAATTTCCGGAGTTTGGACTTTGGAGTAAGTTGGACAAGGAATGATTACAAGGGTGGGGAGTTTATCGGAGTCGCGGCCGGGGAGGCGATGAAGAGAAGGCAGTGCGAGTGCGAGGACGAGTCGGCCACAACAAGGCTTAAGGGGATGGAGCAGGGTATTTTTCGACTCTCTTTTGCATCTCAGAGCTTGGCGCGCATTCGTGATTTTGTTAAGATGAAATAACCTGGAGAGACTGTCAGAAAGCTAATTTCCTGGAAGAGGCTATTGGGTTTCAGAATTCAGATCACGGGAAGGAGCGAGAAACGCCATTTCTGAGTATCTCTTGCTGGGAGGGGGGTTTCATCTATTACAGTGGAGTGGTGTTCCGAACCCTAAATTGCAGGGCTAACCAGAAACAGAGCAAGTCGGAAGTATATTGGGCACTTTCAGTTGCTAAAAACCCTAAAGAACTTAGTTGTCCAAATTTTACTAGAGTTAACGGTGACGATGTTCACTGGCCAGACTGTTGACCTGATCCGTGGGGTTACAGATTAGGGTATTGTTGTTGAGCATCGAGTCAATGGTCGTTCTGACTGGCTTCCCTTTCATGCTGATCTTTTTTCTTCTCTACAGGCCCGGAGGAAAAGTCTTACTTGTGGGGTTCTCAAGACTTTTCAAAACCACCCAGCAGACAGTTTTTCCTCCCGATACACCGCAAGCAGAAATACAATATGTTCATGTCAATTGTCATCGAGTCATCGCCCGTTGACGGGGCCTCCTAATCCAATGCTCGCCGGCGCTTAGCTTGTAGCTCCTAGCTGCATTTACACTGCTGCTATCCGAAATTTCCCATCATCAATGGCTGCAGGAGGATCAACAGCAGTTGTGAACACAATCCTCGTCAGCTTGGGAACCTGGTCTTGTTAGCAAGGCCCTGTCACCAGAAATCCACTCTGCTGCAGGGGCAAAAGTTTGATGGTGGGGAAGATGGACAAGTAGAACTATTTTCGTCAGAAAATGGGATATTCAAGCTTCAGTTCGACTATGTCAGCCCGTTAGGTAACTTCTCCAACCTCTACCTGGGGATATGGTACAATTACCAGGACGGACCCCCGGTTTGGATTGCAAACCGGAACTCCCCGTTTCGGCTCGAATCTCCAGCGCTTACAATTGACAACACTGGCAGCTTCAAGATCCTGCATTCAGGTCGTGAACCCTTCATCCTATATGAGTACGAACCAGCAACAAATAATAGTCATAATACAAGTGCCACGCTGGAAGATTCAGGGAATCTAGTACTCCACCAGCTCAATCCTGATGATGGGTCAAAGGAAAAGATCCTCTGGCAGAGCTTCGATCACCCAACAGATACACTTCTCCCTGGGATGAAAATTGGAATCTACCACAAAACTGGCAGAATTTGGTCATTAACTTCGGCTAGAAGCACACTTTCACCTGCTGCTGGCTCATTTACTTTCGGCATGGATCCTAATGCTACCACTCAGTTGGTGATTTGGCAGAGAGGGAAAGTGTTTTGGAGAAGTGGGGTTTGGAAGAATGGAGGATTCTCTGATATGAGGAAGGCTTCCACCTTCAATCGGGCGTACAATTTCAGCTACTTCACCAGTGAGAACGAAACATACTTCCACTACTCGTTAGTGGATAGAGCCATCAGCCTTTTCCCTTTGTTGTCAATAGATGTTGATGGTTCAATTAGGGGCTTCAGGTATGGTCGTGACTCCGTGCAAGTTTATTGTGGCCAGCCGTACAACGGGATAGGCTGTGTGCCTTTGGAGATGCCTGAATGCAGAATCAGCAATGGTGAACTAAAATTTGGGTTCCACTCCCATGTGGGTTTCATGTCCAGAGAAGGATTCAGGTACAGCAACACTGAAAATCTGACACTAGAGGATTGCAAAGGAATGTGCTTGAGCGCCTGTTCTTGTGCTGCATATGCTACTTCCAATGAAGATCGCACTGGCTGTGAAATTTGGAACTCCACGTTCAGCTTCAGGGAGTCTCCATTTTCAGATCATTCGAGGTTTATATACTTCAGTGACCAAGATCAAGGTGATTGGTTCCCTCCCTTTTGTTTTCTCTCGGCTTTTTTGCTTGACCTATTTTGTTACACGATTTTAAATGAATATCTGCATGTTGCCAATACAGCAAATCGGTGGTGCAAGTTTAGACATTCAGGTAAAATTCAATCAAGATAGAGTGCATTCCTCTGCTCATGACAGTTTGCTGAGGACTTCTTCATTAGGTGACAGGAAGATCAATTTGAAGAATTTGTTTGGCATAATGGACCAAAATGCATTGCCTAAGACATTGAATGGCATGGCTGAAACACTGGGAGATTACAACACCCATAACGTACTGAGATGCATTCATATTGGTCTATTGTGTGTTCAAGATCAACCCACAGATAGGCCTACTATGTCTGATGTTGTGGCCATGCTGTCCAATGAGACGTCGGAGCTTCCCGACCCAAAGCAGCCTGCATTTTTGGCGAGTGCAGTGGTGGAGGAGATTGATGTTTTGGAGCTCAATGACCAGAATTGTTCCAGAAACACTGTGACCATCACTGTAATGCAGGCAAGATAGATAATGATAGATACTTATGAACTTGCTCATTTCTTTTGTTGTTGTGTTGCTTTTATGAGTTAGTGAAATCAACGACTAGAATAGTCCCATAAACAATGTTGCAACCTCTATAATGGAGGCAAGATAGATAGATAGATAGATGAACAAACGTAGCAGAGCAGTCTTGAAGCTTATCAGGTCACTTTGGTGGCCATAAAACACATGCCAGCAACTTGTGTGTTTTTGCAATTTTTAGTGAAATTGCAATTCTACTGCTAAGATCTACAATAAAATGTTACCTTCATTTGGTTAACGGTGACAATTGGGTCTTCGGTCAACTTGTGTAGCAGGTACCACACATTTTGTCTGGCTTGCTTTTTCCATTCTGTTGTCTTTCTCACTCTCCAGGTTTGTGGGGAAAGTCTGTCTCGTGGTGTTTCATAAAGACTTTTCAACAAAACAAGAAACAGCTCTTGCCTTATGCCCTTATGTCAGCAAAGTCATGTCCTTTGACAGTGGCAAAGTAATCTAATCTGTTTTTGTTGCTTACAGGTTACAGTAGGCCGGCCCATAGCTTAGGCAGCTTCCAGTTGCATCACAATTCATTCCTACTTAATTCTAGTTGAAGTTGTCACCAGGAATCCACCATGTTTCTGGGTGAACATACTGGTTGGAGAGATAGACAAGTACCACTACCGGCATCAGAAAATTGGATGTTCAGGCTTCAGTTCAATGATTTGAACCAAGAAATATCCGACACCAAATCCTACCTGGGAATATGGTACAGTTACGAGGGCGGATTACCGGTTTCGATTGCCAACCGAAACTCTCCGCTTCAGCTCGATTCTGTAGTACAATTGACAAAAATGGCAGCTTGAAGATTCTGCAGCCTACAGGTGGTGAACTCATCAGCATATATGAATATTCAGCAACAAACTATAATCATACTACTAGTGTGACACTGGAAGATTCAGGGAATCTATTACTGTACGAGAATCATCCTTACGAGAAAAGGATACAGGTACTGTGGCAGAGCTTCTGTTACCAAACAGTCACACTCATCCTTACAATGAAAATCGGGATCTAACACAGAACTGGCCTAAGTTGGCCCCTACTTCACTCGGAAGCAAACTTTCAGCTGCTGTTGATTCATTTACTTTAGGCATGCAATGCCAGAACCCAGAGGGAAGATCAATGGGAGAAGTAGGGGTTGTAAGAATGGACTGCTCTCTGGACTGTCAACACGTTTGTCAGAGTATTTCATGCACGGTGTTGTGTCAACTAAACTCGTTGGCGCCTTGCTTTTGGAAATTGTCAGTGGGAAGACCAGTGACTACAACTTCTGAACCAGACATTGGGAGATCTCAGCACTCAAAATGTACCGAGATGCATTCGTATCGGCTTCTGTGTTCAAGATCATGCCACATATATATATTTTTTTCTGGATGAAAGATCATGCCACAGATAGACCAACCATGTCTGAAGTTGCGACCATTCTGTCCAACGACACATTGGAGCTTTCTAACCCAAAACAGCCTGCATTTTCGCGAGCTTCGTGATAGAGGAGGGTAGAAATCAACAACCATAACTGCTCCAAACACTTTAGGACCATCTCTGAATTGGAGGCAAGATCGATGGACAGGGTAGGTGGATGGGCTGAGTCATTCGTTGATTTCTCGGCTTGTTTCTGTGTTGCGTTTATGTGAGTTGTAGAACGGATCAAGGTAAACCACCATAACTGTTCCATAAACAATGTGACCACCTCTATAATGGAGGCAATAGAGGCTGATGGATAGATAAACATACATGGCCGAGCAGTCCTGAAGCCTCCAGGATAATTTTGTTCTTCATAACCCATGCCGGCAAAGTGATTTTTCTCTTGTGAAATTACCACTCTACTGCTAGAACCTCTAACAAGATGTAAACTTTATAATAAATCTCGTAGCATGTTACTTGGAATGATAAAGTCGTGAGCTTAGCATTAGAAGCTTTTCCATAAACGTTTTGACTTCACTTGCACCTGTCTATAGACAGCTTCAAAATCCTACAGCATGACATTTGACAAACATCTTACAGTAAACACTATTGCCAAACATGTTCGATCGACATGCAACTGTAGCTATGGTTCATCAACACGGCTGACTTGAGAGGTTTCAACTCCCGATGTATCACATATGCACAACATGATGGACTAGACCACAAGGCACTATCCATCTACTTATCTTGCCTCCTTGCAGAGGTGGTCATATTGTTTCTGAAACAGTTCTCACCTTCGATTTCCACTTTGGCAAGCTCTTCTGCTACTTCACCGGCACAAAACGATGGTTGCTTTGGGTGTGCCAGTACCCGTGTCTCATTGGACAGCAAGGCCACAACTTCAGACATGGCAGGTCTATCTGTGGCCTGATCTTGAACGCACAACAGACCTGTCTGAATGCATCTCAGTACATTTTGTGTGTTGAAATCTGCTACTGTCCGGTCCAACAGTTGTAGTCCCTGCCTCCCTGGCCTTCATTCCACAGCTGCCACGCCTGATTCACACAAATCACATTATTGGTTGGTATATGTATGCTCAGTTTCATTCCATACTAGTCAAATTAGTTGTGTCCTTTTTTCTCAAGGGAACGGAAGGGAACTCACATATCCAGCGAGGGTGGACAGTTTTTCGTCAGGGTCATAGAAACCATTGTTTTTCTTGCCACTCACAATTTCCAGAAGCAAAATGCCAAAGCTGAACACATTGGTTTTAGTAGAGACAACACCATGCAGTGCGTACTCCGGAGACATGTAGCCACTGTCAAAAGAAACAAAGAAAGAGAACCATTAATTTAATTTTACGGTATGCATATATAGCATTATGGATCATACTGCTTAATTATAATGGTTGCATACTATGTTCGCACAATACACCCTGTGTTTGCTTCTGATTCTGAGACCCAATATCGTAGCCATCCCGAAATCTGATATCTTTGGGTTCATGTCATCATCAGGCAAGACATTGCTTGCCTGCAAGTCATTTCTGAACATTTCTTCCAGTCTAGCACTCTCTTTCTTTCGGCATCTGGCAAAAATGTTCAGAAAGAGCCTGACAATATGTACATAGATACATAAACAAAGTGTTCTGTAGAGACAAAAGAGGACCAAAAAACGCATACCAAAAAGAAAGGAGTCCAAACTTCCGTTTGGCATATATATACTCATAAAGTAAAATCTTCTCGTCTCTCCGCGTGCAGAATCCTCATAGCCTCATCAGATTAGTGTGCTGGAGTTGGCAATGAGACAGGCTTCATTTCTGAACTCCACAACCCCTTGCCCTGAACTTCTTGATAGTCGCTTTACTGCGACTTCTCGCCCAGTCACCAGCCTTCCCTGAAATAGTAGACAGTTGCTGGTTGTTAGAGCTTCATCACCACCGCTGAAAGTAACCCTTCCCCTTCTGTTATATTTCTTTACCTTGTAAACAGGTGCGAAACCTCCTTCTCCAATCTTGTTTGCGGTTGCGAAATAATTAGTTGCAGCAGCAGCAATGATTTCAAAGTTGAAAGTCCGCAACTCATCCTCATCGTCGTCATGCTGCTCATCTGCTGCCCCATTTGATGTATTCCTTTCACCTAATTAATAGATTTTATTATACAGGATGAGAGGAGTGAACCTGGACGAAAGAAAAGAAGGATAAGAGCAGTGAGAAGGTGAAGACTTGTTGAGGAGGTTTCCAAATTCCAATACAATGAAACAGGTAAACTAGCTTCTCCGAGTTAGCAAAACCCTCAATGCTGCGCAACTAATTACCCAACCTGTCAGCCTCAATAAGACCAATCTTTTCATACGGAATGAACTCAATCAGCCCGTAACCCCGTTCACCAGTAACTTCGCTAAGAGTAAGCTGAGATTCTGCAGCATCTTGAAGACTTGACTGGTGGTCATCTTGAACCTATAGTCCTATACATTCTGTATCCTCTGCCATGGCAAAATGCTCTGAATGCAGCAGATAAAAAATGGCAAAGACGGAAAAGAATGAAGTCCAACCTTCTGATTGGCATATACTCATAATCTGAAATCTGTTCGTCCACGATGGAGAACTCTTAAACAAGCTATAGGCCTAATTGGTAGATGTCAAACAACTGATTCAGAAAAGATCAACAAATGGATTGGAAACGCTTCCTTAAAAAGAGACCTTGCCTCTTCCAGGTGCTAAGATCTTAATCACCAGTAGTCGCCACAAGAGCAAAGTCCATTCTCAAAGTGGTGGAACCGATTCATATCCCTCACGATGATATCTCGTTTCACAATCTTCGATATCAATTTCATGACAGCATGACAGTCAGCACAGATGCGAAGGTTTTTTATGATCCGGATAGGGCTGCTTCCCGATGGTGTTTTGATAAGACCAAAAGCTAAAGCCAGTCGTTCACTGTGCACCCACAAGTGGCGCTCTTTTTGATCATCTTCAATGTCCCGCAACACAGCATTACGGTCAGGACTGTAGCTTTCTTGCCTAGTTTTCATGTTCAGCCACTCCAGCATTCCATAGATCATTTTCTTGTCAGGATGTGAAGCGTCGTCCACAGTGAAATAGTGAACAGTGCCCTGGTTCTCAATCCAGCTAAGACCTGGTTCTTTGTTGAGTCCTTTTGTTTTCATGCTTCTCCTAACAGTAGCGACATTTGCCCACCTCCTGGTTCTGGCATACATGTTGGATAACAACACATGGGTCGACTCATCTTGGGGATCAATCTCGAGGATGTGCTTTGCACAGAGTTTGCCTATCTCAACATCATTGTGGATGACACAAGCACCAAGTAAAGCACGCCATGCCATAAGAGAGGGCTCAAATGGCATTTCTTTTATCAGCTTCAGAGCTCGATCGAGATGACCTAACCTTCCTAATAGCCAGACCATACAAGAGTAGTGTTCCACGCATGGCTCAATACCATGGTCGTGTATCATAGATTTAAAATAAGCTTCTCCTTTGCTGAGCAGTCCACCGTTACTACATGCAGATAGCACCCCAACAAAGGTCATCTGATTTGGCCTAACATCAGTTTCTTGCATCATGTCAAAAACCTTCAGAGCTTCCCCACCGAGACCATGCATAGAGTACCCTGATATCATAGCATTCCAGGAGACCTCGTCATTTTTGGTTAGACCATTAAATACCAGGCGTGCGTCTTTAATGCTGCCACACTTTGCATACATGTCTATCAAAGCATTACCAACTACGGTGTTCTTGTCATATGTAGTTTTCATTGTCAAACAATGAATCTGAGTTCCTGGGTCGAGAGCTGCTAGACTAGCACAAGCACAAAGAGCGCTGGAATATGTAACTTCCGTTGGCTGGACATTATGGCATTCAAGCGTATCTTTGAAGAAGCTCAATGCTGAATCGAAATCACCCGCATGCACAAAACCAACAATCATAGTATTCCAACTGACGTCGTTCGTGATTGATGATCCTAAAAATAGCGTAAGAGAGTTTTCTATCAGACTGCATTTGGCATAAACATCCATTAAAGCATTTGTGATAAAAATGTCTTCAAGAAAACCAAGCTTAAGCACGTGACAATGAACCTGTGTCCCTAGCTCTACAGCCTCTATACTTGCACAAGCTTGCATGACGCTGGCAAATGTGTACTGATTAGGTGTAACCATTGCTTGCCTCATCTGGACAAATAGCTCCACAGCCTCTTTGCCCATGTTGCTCTGAGCACGCCGAGCAATCATGAAACTCCAAGGAACCACATCATCTTTTGGCATCTCCTGAAAAATCCGTGAAGCATCACCAGAATCTCCAGATTTTACATAAAACTCGAGCAACCCCATCCCCACAAAAAGATTCGGCTCATAACCGGTTTTTAAAGCACACCCATGCAGACCCTTGGCCAAATCAAAAGCCTCTAGGCCAACACAGGCCTTGAGCACAGCAGCAAGCGTAAAATGATTAGGCCGGAATCCAATTCTCCTCATATCAGAGAACACTTGAAAAGACTCTAGGAAGCAACTATTCTCCGCATAGCAAGCCACCATCCCAGTCCACGAAACCATATCTTTGCAAAGAATCCCATCAAAAGCTCGCCTCGCACAGTCTACGAGCCCGGAAACAGAGTACGAATCAACCAAAGCAGTCCCAACAAAGGCGTTGGACTCATGACCAAGCTTACAAATGGAAGAATGAATGCTGGGAGTCAGCTCGGCCCACTCCATGGCCACGAGCAACTTCAATGCCGAAGTGAAAACAAAAGGGTTGAGCTCCTGCCCCTCTCTGTGCAACCTCGAGAACAAGTCGAGAGCTTGGACGAAGTCTGAAGACTGGGCGTAGCCCTGGATCAAGGTAACAAAAGAAATGGTGTTTCTCTCAGGCATCTCGTCGAACACCTTACGGGCATCAGTCAAGGACTTCCCATTCACGTAGAGGTTGAGCAGAACGTTGTGAGCAAACAAATCTAAGCAATTACCCGTCTTGAGAATCGCACAGTGGTGAGCTCGGCCGGTAAGGTGGTCGCCATTCTGGATGCAACGTTGAAGCATAGCTGCGTAAGCGTGAGACTGTGGTGGAGAAGGTTGGAGGGAGAATTGGGACAGCCCTCGCGAAGGGAACCATTTGAGATGGAGAAAGATAGGGTCACGATGGTTGAGCAATTTAGAAAGGGTTGAAACTGGAAGTAATCTGATCATGCGCGCCAACGAGAAGGAGAGAAAGAGAGAGCGCGCGGGAGAATGTCACAACTCAGTGAACTCACAACTTCCAGCTCGAAAGAGGAGGGAAAAGCTGCGACTGAAGTAGTCGTGTGAGTAGAATAAAATTTTGACAGAGTGAGGCGCTAAATAAGATTTGCTACGCTGCGTTAACACTTTCATAATAATAGTTATTCGCTTTTCGCTTTTTTTTTTACCCCAAGAAATGTCGAGAGAGAAAAAAACTATACAATCTACCCAATTCCCTCCCAAACCAATACATCAGCGAAGTCACGCTACAAATACGAAGGAACCGATCTCAAGAGGAGAAGAAACAGGGCTTACTGCGCCACTCTATGGACAGCCCCGTTAGCAGTTCTAGGAACTGTCCTAAACTCAAAGGAAACAGAAACTGAAGACAGGAGCCGGAAGCAATCACGTAGCACCGGACCTCCGAGGGAACCTGAAGAACTGCCCTGGCGAAGCTGACGAATCACCACTTCTGAGTCACCTTCGATGAAGACACAAGGAAGGGACTTGGAGACCAAGAGGGAGATAGCGTCTCGAGCTGCAAGAAGTTCTGCGAGGTAGGGGTCAACAATGCCTGGGTGCTGGAACCCTACTGCCAATGCCACATGTCCGTCTGTTCCACGAACCACTAGTCCAGACGAGCAACCGGAAGCACGAACTGCAGCATCAAAGTGATCTTCAGATAGCCAACAGGAGGAGGGATCCAGGAGGTGAGGCGGGAGCTTGAGGGCTGAAGGGGAGGACGGGTACCGGAGGGTGAGAGGAAGAGACTACACATACTTGGAAAAAGCATTGACGAACTAGAGACTAGGCATGAGGCTGATAATGCTCAAAAACCACCTTATTTCGAGACTTCCAGATTCTCCACAATACGCAAACGTATAGGAGAACGTGGGTTTGGGGGTGCTCAGAAAACATAACATGTCGCCACCGAAGACTGAAATTCACAGTCGGGGCCGAGGTTTTATTAGCTGCGAGCTCTGTCCCACAAGCTTCAGCGAGTTGGGATTTATCATTTAAGAGCTCACTATAAATAGGTTGTTAATATTCCTCTCATCCCAAAACTGGGGAGGCTATTAAAAACCCTACAGGCCACTCAAAGGACGCTTCAATGTTCCTTTTGTTCACCATGCTTAGGCTTAGGACGTTATTAATGGGAAAATAGGTTACAAGCTCAATAATTGGCTTCTTAAACTCCCCCTCCCCCCTTGTAACCCCTTCTTTTTCTTCGGCCTTGTGCCTCCCCTGCTGCAAAAAAAAAATCTAAAACATGAGATGTAAACCGACCATTAATGATTGTAAAGCATCATAAAGAGATATTTTTTCATCCCAAAATGAGAATTTAAACCGACTATTTAAAGTCGTAAAGTGCCATAAAGAGGTCGCTTTAATGACTCATTTGTATCGTCTCATCGAAAACTTCCTGTCGACGAGGCCAATTGCCAGTAAGGGAGGCCTACTGGTTTTAGCGACAAGGACATGATTAATTGTAAATAAACTCATGAATGAGGATCAGCAAAAATCACCCAGTGAATATACATCTTCACTAGAGAAACTCGGAAAGTCCTCCCTCTCCGAATTAAGTGTCATGAACGTGAATAATGGCTCACTAAAGGACTCATTAGTATAATTACAAAATTTAATAATGTTTTTAATTTATTTAGGATAAATAAATGCCTTTAAACACCAAATAATGGTAGATCATCCAGCAATTAATCACTTGTAATGGTTCATCGGAGAGCAAAACTTGTCATAGCCGTGGCCGCCGGAATTGGGGTTCCCCGTCAATTGTTCGAACAACCGCAGAGGAGACCAAGTTAGCTTAATCCATCATTTTACATATTCCTTCCCTTCGGCAGAGTGTCAAGAGCAGGAATGTGAATTTCCCTCTTAAAGTTCCAATTTGCACTATTTCGAACCCAAGCTACGTAAGTAGGGGAAGATGACAAGATAAACTTGTATTCAAACCACTCTCCAAAATAGTATAACTTCAAAAAGGGAAGCTTATCCGTTCAAAGAAGGATCAGAATCACTGGCCACAGGCCGTATCGACAAGAACTGTCGTTCTTATTATGTTTACTCACCTTTTCAGGTGCGAAAACAATATGTTCAATCTGCACACATTAAACTCAATTTGCCATCAGGGTAATAGAAGCAATCACCACTGAGGAGAATCCTCGATCTTAGAAGACAGATCCCCAATCATGAACCGAGTTAACCCAACCCTAGAAAAATCAGGAGACAGGGAAGGAAAGAAATCAAAATCAAATCCCAGAAATTCGATACCTTTGATGAAATAATCCGAGGAAGGCCAGCCGCGGACGGAGGTAACGGAGCAAGATTCCTCGTCGGTCAAGGGATTCGCAATCACATATGATGAAATGAGTTAACTTTGATGAAATAATCCGATTGCAAGTTGAGTTGAATATGAAGGTCTATGTGACAATAAGACCATCTACATCCATGAAACATCATTTTTATTTCATATGTGGCCCTTACTGCCACCTCAACAGTTTTTTCCATTCCATTTCATATCACTTTCATTCTCTCTACATCCATGAAATCCACTATCTATTTCATATGGTGGGTCCAACTTACTTTTTAATACACTACACATTTTATGTAACCTATATGATTTTACCAATTCAACATGTATCAAATAGTTAAAATAATATATTGTAATTATTTAATTATCAAAAATGAAATAAATTTACTAATTCATTGAAAAATATATTATAGTTTTATTCATTGATTAAAAAAATAAATTATGTAATTTAAAATGGGTAGACTTTAATAAAAATAACTTGTTATTAAGTCATAAGTACAATATTCAAATGACAAATTACATAAGACAATGAAAATTTCAAATAAACACACATACATAACACAACTACTATTACAAATAAACACATGTAATACAAATACATAAAAACGATACTAGATTAATCATCGAATTCCTCGTCTCCAAATCGATTCCATATCTCTTCTATCAATTTAAGTGGAGCGGGCCTCCATCCCAGAATTTAAATTATTAATCTATCAAAAGTTAATAAATTTTACTTAATAAAAAATAAATTTGTTATCTTAAATAGGAATTAACAAATGAAAAAAAAAATTAAAAATTAAATTACAATATGTTACAAACTACAAAACAAGATGGAAACGGAAAAAAAAGAGCAAAATGTGGGATGGAGGCCCACTCCCCACCCACGTAGCATTTCATTGGGTCTTCCATTTAGTGAAATCTTCCAAATTGTGAAATAGGGGCTGCATCCATGATATGAGAAATGGGAGGTGCCACGTCAAAATGGAAAAGCTTCCTGACAGACGTTGGGATGCTCTAATACTAACCACTTTTTAAAAAATAAACTGATATAATCAATTTTTAAACCAGTTTGACAGTTGTAGCCATTTTTCGTTACAAACTTTAACGTCGTCACAAATGCCGTCAATAACCTCTATGTGTCGTTGAGGTGGATGCCACCTGGACGACATGTCATTACCAACTAGACGTCTCCATGCCACCTAAATATCACGTCATATGAAAAGTAATTTTAATAAAAAATAGTTAATTTTACTAACAAATAAAAAATAAAAGATTTTAGAAAGAAATTTTTTATTTTATTTTATCTTTCTCACTCTACTATCTGCTCGCAACCGCTGACCTTTGCCGCTCTCTTGTCCGATCGTTCCCTCCGATGACAACTCTTGAATCCTTTTCCTCTCGCCCACCGAAGAAGTCATCACTTCCTCCCGCCTTCCTCTCATGATAATCGTCTTCCTCCGTCGTCGTTGGAGTTCTTTGACAATCAATTTAAGTTGCTCCGATCGTCTTTCCCGACGGAAAACATCCTTCAATAAGTTGAATCGTTCGTATCCCTCCACGGCTTCTTCTTCACTGAGAATCGCTCGAATATCTTGACGATTAGCTTCTCGATCTTGAAGTTGTATCGCTCCATTTTCTCCGAAAAGCTAAGTCTTCCTAATGGCGACTATGGATGGTTCAGTAAGGTAAAGGAAGCTTGACTTGAGATGGAGGAGCGGATTGGAGAGGCGAGGTTGCCTTTATCGATGCTGGAACAGAGATGGAGGAGTGAATCGGGGACCAGCTGGACTGGATTCAGGCTTTTTAAGTCGTTCAACTTATTGTTGTATGTAGAATAGATTGTTGTACTACCCAAAGGATCTCTGTGAAACAGAATAATCAATACGGATTGTCTGAATATCCGACCTTATATTATATACACAAAAAATTGCTATAGAAAAAAACCAAAGAACAAAGTCTTTTTCTTAACAAAATATGTAGAAATGTGAAAATGCATTAACAATAATTGAATTTAGGATTTTGCTACGGTGACATGCATGTCACCATGACATGGACTTTTCGACCTAATCCAAAAGGCGGTCGACCAAATTGACTAATTCATGTATGTGAGGTTCTAAGATGCGGTCGACCTCTTACATAATATGGTCGACCTCTTTGGTGGTCTAACAGAATGAAAGGTCGACCGCAAATACCACATAGGGCGACCCTTGTGCACCTAACAGGTCGACCACATTATAAAGCGGTCGACCGCCTTCACACCGTATCCGTGTTGGATACAGATTCCAACACCAGAAAGGTTCCACAATTGGACAAGGAAACGAATTGGGTCGACCCATTCACGTCCTAAATCTCTATAAATACGAATATAAGTCCCCTTCAAGGCCACCAAGTCTGAATTAGGTTTTTTTTTTTATTTAGAGCCTTTGTGAAGAAGATCGTTCGCGGTTGCTGTTGTACGTGTTGAAAGTGGTCGACCACGTCGAAGATGAGGTCGACC